GGAATGTTTTTTCCCCCAAATGGCTTGGGTCTGGGCTGCTCTTCTAGCTCACATTTTGAAAAAGTCTACTCTTAGTAAATGGTTACCTAAAAACTCTACTGAAAAATAGAACGTCCCACAGGACTCATCTCACTTTCTACTCTAATATATGTTTCTTATGTTATTTCTCTCCCAAGAAAATGTGTTTCATTGCTGCATACTTCATATCTAGACAATAAGTATTAAATATATACTATTAATGTCTGCCAAAAACGATCAATAGCTTTCTCACTTTTCTTAGCCTGCTTTTTTCAGGTGATTACTGTCATACTTAAAAATGTTGCTGTGATGGGGCTGAAGAGATAGCTCAGAGGTTAAGAGCATTGCCTGCTCTTCCAAAGGTCATGAGTTCAATTCCCAGCAACCACATGGTGGCTTACAACCATCTGTAATGAGGTTCGGTGCCCTCTTCTGGCCTGCAGACACAGACAGAATATTGTATACATAATAAATAAATAATAAAAAAATGTTGCTGTGATTCCCCATATTCCATTCAGGATGGGTTTGGCCCCAAGTGTATTTGAGCCTTTTTCTCACTTTTCAAAATGATTTGACAGTCTACACATTAACACCTTAATCATGTCTGAACCTACTGTTTTACTTCATTTCTCTGTGTTCTATACACATACACCTGTCTGTAATTGGCCAAACTCTGGTGCAGTCTCTTGGTCAAGTTTTCAATCCACTGGGAGACTATAAGTTGTTAGACAATTACCACAATTCTGACAAGCTGGAGTTTTGTTGTTATTGCTTTAGAGGAAGAAAAGCAGAATGGGAGGGAAATAAAAGGTAAAATTCTTCATAAAGAACAAAGAATAACCTCCAACTCAGGAAAATATTCATACCTCCTATTAAGTAAAAAAATAAATGAACGAATGGATAAATAGAATGAACGTTAGGAATCACAAGGTCTTATACTAGGTTCACGTTAAAATCGTTTTCCCTCCAGTGTAGGCCCCGAGTAGCTTTTATCATCAGCATCTCAGAAAACTATGTAATAGTTATTAGGGTTCTGCTTATCTCTTTCTATTCTGCTGGACAAGAGTCTGAGGCAGAGCCGGCATTTAACCTTCAGCAGTTGCTTGTGGGGTTGAGTGTAGCTCAACGGTAGAACTCTTACCTAGCATGCATGAGGCCACAGGTTTGATACCAAGCATCATACAAAGCTGTTTTAATTGGGCTAATATCCAGCTGAAGGCTGAAGTTAGAAGGGTGAAGTTGTGAATGAAAGAACTGAGTGAAAGGGGGAATATACCTTTCTTTAACTTCCTCAATTCCTTCCTCTTTAGCTCTAATTTTTGTTTTGAACTAGGCTCCAGACTTATGCACAGGATCACTAACATTCTACATATCTACAAGTTTATAAGTATTATTATATTAACAAATCGTTATAAACATATATTTTTTGCCTTAGGCATGAAAATGTTAGAGTAAAGTACACCAACTGGATAGTTTTATTTGTTTCAGGGGTCGTTTGTTGTTTTGAGACGGAGCCTCACTCTACAGCTCAGAGTGGTATTAAATTCATGCCAGTGTTCCTGCTTCAGTGTCCAGAGTGCTGGAATTATAGGTGTGCACAACAACACCTGACTCCCAAAAGGATATTCTCAAAAGGTTATTTTCAAATATATATATTTTTCAAGATATAGCAAACAAATTTACACAAAACACTTACCATATAAAACATGTACAAAAATAATTATAAAGCAGAAAGTTAAACATTTTATAAATTTCACTTGTATTTAGAATTTCATTGTCCTAAAAATTATTTTTTAATTTATATAAAGCAGTTAGAAATGAGATCTATTTTCCTGAATGTATATTTTAGTTTTCAAAAGTGATAGAAAACTAAAAAGTTTTCAAAAGTGAGAGTACCTAGTTCTATGCCAAATCTTACATATTCTCCACATAATTCATATAAGCTTGTATTACAGTATAAAATGGCTAGAATATAGAAGCAGAGAATAGTTGAGGAATCCATAGATTATTTTCTCCCAAGTTTCTTTAGAATTAACTAGAAACCTATAAAAATGCAGATAACAAACCTATCTAGAGATGTCTATACAAGTTGCTCTGAGCAATATACAAATCTTCATTTGTATCAAAGCAGGTCTGATTGGATAAGACTGAGAGTCATTTACTTAATGGTTTGTTATTCTGTCTTTTTTTTTTTCCTCGAAGTTGAGGAACAAACCCAGGGCCCCTGTGCTTACTAGGCAAGTGTTCTACCACTGAGCTAAATTCCCAACCCCTAACGGTTTGTTATTACATGGGGAACTTCTAAACCTGAACTTGGGCCAGGTAGCATCAGTGGAAACACTGCAGTAAGCTCTCGAAGGCAGACAGGAAAAGCTGCTTTGGAAAAATTTAAAATTTTCTGAGAGGATTCGGTTATCCACTTAGAAATTCAGTTAAGTTCACAAAGCTAAATAGTTGCAGGGCCATTTCTATAGCTCCCCCATTCTGTTGGTTTTCTTCCTTCTTTCCTTTAGCCCAGGCTGACCTCAAATGGCAATCCTCCTTGGTGTCCAGAGTGTTAAGAGTTACAAGCACAGCCCACAACATCCTGATAGTGCAGTCTCTTGATGTAGTTCTTTTCACGGAAGTGTTTTTTGTTTGTTTGCTTGCTTCTAAAAAGGATCTGGTTCATAGCACCACTTAACACTGGGCAAGTTTAAACTGAGCTAACTGGAAATACTTTTAGGTCCTAATTTAAAACAAAGCCCTTAATCTATATCCTTCAAATTAAAATTTCATTTTAACTTCTAAGTCAGTATTTTAAAACTTCAAATTCCACTTTAAAACAAATAGAAGTCAAACAAACAAGGTCCTGCGGTTTACGGCAGACTGACATGACCAGACCTTCTTCAGGATCACAGTGTCAGGATAACAGGTGTGCACTCCTACACGGGGTCCCAAAGGCTTTTAAAAGTCTGACAGGAGGCTGGGCAATGGTGGCACACGCCTTTAATCCCAGCACTCGGGAGGCAGAGGCAGGCGGATCTCTGTGAGTTCGAGACCAGCCTGGTCTACAGAGCTAGTTCCAGGACAGGCTCCAAAGCCACAGAGAAAGCCTGTCTCGAAAAACCAAAAAAAAAAAAAAAAAAAAAAAAGTCTGACAGGAACCAGGCATGGTAGTGCACACCTTTAATCCAGCTCTCTGGTGGCACAGACAGGCATTTGAGTGATCTATTTGAGTTCTTGGACAACCTGATCTACATATCAAGTTCCAGGCTGGCTAAGACTAGTGAGACAGTGTCTTAAAAAATAAATAAATCCTCATTCTTTAGTAAGCATTATTACTTTGATTTCTAAATTTGGTGACCTTTTATTATATAAAATATGTAATTCTACATATTCAAATTACTCTCTCCACTAACAAGTGGTAACAAATTTCCTTTCATATCAATGAATTTGATATGAAATTAACAAAACCCTATCATTGGCCTATCAATAGACTTTTCAACACTATTAGTTAATTCTAGGAACTTCCTTTTAAACTTTTTAAAAAGGTGATATTGGACTATGGATGTAGCTAAGTGTTAAAGAGTATTTGTCTAGGGACCGGTGAGATTGTTCAGTGGTTAAGAGCACTGACTGTTCTTCCAGAAGCCCGGGGTTCAATTCCCAGCACCCACATGACCGCTCACAGCTGTCTGTAACTCCAGTGCGCATTAAATAAGGTTTAAAAAAAAAGTATTTGCCTATCAGAGTCCATTTGCCATCACCCAAAAACAGAGGCATTAATTAAAAAACTTATGAAAAATGTGATAAATACAAGTTTCTGCACTTAAAATTTTACAAGTGCATTTTACAATCTAAAAATTGATGCATTTTTTTCTGATTTATGTCTTTCTGGAAAATATTTATTACATTATTCAAGTTGTTAAGACTCTTTAAAAATCTCTTTGAAGGTCATAAATTTTGATAATCCAAATTTCAATGATATTTTTGGTTTTGCTTCTGGATTTAGAAAAGTGTGTGTTATACTTTATCAAACGCTGATCATACACTCACAATTCTTAAGTCTGATGGGTTACACTGGAACCCAATTTATACTTCTATTTCTATATACAAAAAAAAGCAATGTGAGGATGTAGTTTCGAGTTTATATTCTAAGTAGGAATCGGATGCATAAGATTTTGCGCCCAAAATTAATAAGTCCTCTTCTGTCCCCTTTAAATGTGATTTGGCTATGAATGTAACTTTGAAATCTAACTAAAAGTTAGGTATGCTAGAGTATACTCTGTAACCATTGAAAGGCACCAAGAACGTGCCTCTTGGAGTGGAGCAAAATTTATAAAAGTAGAAAGTCAGAATTCAGCTACAAGATCAAAATGGTATTTAACACCTAGGAAGTAGGTTAAGCTAAAATCTGTAGTCTCTGCCATTCACATTCCTGGGGCGGGGTGAACGACTGCAGCACACGGCCAGGGGGTGGGGGATGGGAAGGGAAGAGGCTTTTTTTTTTTTTTTTTTTCCTTTTCTCTTTCTCTTTCCTCCTAAAAATTAACCACGTTTATTTTCAGAGGTGGACTCGGGTAGGAGGCAAACATCCAAAAGGCCTACTCCTGAGCCTTGGGGGCCGGTCCCCACGGGGCTGCCGACGCCGGTTTCCTGGCCCGGCGGGCAGACGCCACCAGCCGCCCGCGCGGCGGCGGCGGCGCCGACGACGGAGCCGAGCCGGGCCGGGCCGGGGGCGGGGGGCTCGCACGTGCCCGGCGGGGGCGGGGCGGCGAGCGGCGACCCCGGCTCCGGGGAGGCGGGCGCGGCCGGGTCGGCCTCCCCCGCGCGCGCGGCCGGCAGCCAGCTGCGGGTGGACGAAGGTGCGCGTCACGGAACCGCTGGAGCCACACAGAGACGTCTAAGTCATGCAGGAGGCGCCCGGCCCCGGCCCGCTCCCGCCGCCCCGACCCCTCCTCTCTCATCCGACAGAAAGACAGACAAGAAGGGTTGCCGACCTGTCGTGCCCTGCATGTTCAGAGTCTGTCATGTTTGGTCAAGAACGGGGCGGGGCTGGAGGGCAGGTCTGGAGGCCGGCGGCGGCGGGGCGCGGGGAGGACCCCTGCGCCGCCTGCGGGCACCTGCTCCCGGCCGCCGCCGACGGGTGACGAAGTGGTAAAAACTCACGGTTACTAGTGAGCGACACAGACACAGACTTTCCAGTCTATTAACAACCACGCCAGAGAGATGGGGCTCTAACTGCAAAGACTGGGGCAACGGCCCCGCGCTGCCGGCGCTGCCGCTCTAGTCTGTATTCGCCGCCGGAGGCTGAGGCGTGGGAGCCGGCGGGTGGCGCGCAGCGACGCGGGGATTTGGACAGTAGCCGTAACGGTGATTTCTCCTCACCAACATGGCGGCACCCGAGACGGGCAGGCTCAGAAAATGGCGCCGGCCGCAACACCTTGCCCGGGACTAACGGGCATGTGAGATTCCTCCGCCAGCCGCAGCCTGCCGGGGCTGAGCGCATTGGCCATTGGTGAAAACTGCCTGTCAATCACTTCGAGGGGCGGGCTTTTAAGATTCTCGCTGCGGCGGCGGAGGCAGCAATCCGATAGCTAAGCAGGGAGGCTAGGTCTGCGGGCGGGTGGCGCCTAGAGTCACTTTGGGAGGGGGCAGGCTACCCCGCGGTGCTTGCTGTGTCCTCCAGGTCCTCTGTGCCCCGTTTCTCGGTGTTCCTGCGAGACTCGCCATCCAAGGGCTTCAGGATGCCGGACGCGTCACACAATCCCCTCCCCGCACTTCATCAAACCGTTAGCTGCGGGAGATTAAAAGGAACTGTCAGTGATCTTTGTGGGAAAAAAACTCTTGTTGCTAAAATAACTTAGAATCATTCTTAGTTGTTGCTGTTATCCATCTCCGTAATGTTTAGTGCGCATTTGTAAGGAAGATTAGTTAGCATGCAGCTCTTCCTGATTAAATTCCCTTAGTCATTACTTGACAGAATTATAATAGCTGTTGAGGTCATTCAAACGTGATCTTATGTCTTGATATTAACGTTTTATTCGTGGAATGCATGCGAGTATTTCATGAAAAAAGAACAAGACGGTGCATTTTTTCATATATCCGTGACCTTGAGAAACAATCCTGAAATGATAGTGTGTGCAAGATAATTGCTTTTTATTAAAATGAGCTTAAATGGGCTCTGCCCTTTGTCATGTCCCTGTTACTCTGCGCTGGTCTTGTCTCCTTGGCTGGTGGGTAGCCCCTTGGAGCACAAGTGTTGTTGCTTGTGGTAGTGGTCATTTCTTTTTAGCCATAGAACACAAGATCGTTTATCCCCTACCCAATCTAAGAAACTGTCCCTCTTTCTAGACACATTTTTACTTGACCCTGTGTGTCTGGGATGCCTGAGTGGGTATACATCATCACACCAGCGAAAGGCTTTCCTTTTTACCTGATGGTTCCTGGGCCTGATGAGCCCTACATGGACAAATGATAGCCTCAAGGTGAAGCTGTGGAAAACTCTCCTACCTTTTAATAGATACCTTCCTGCTTTGGGATTCATCAAGAGCCAGTGCCTAGGGATGATTCTCCTCCAACCCCTCTCCCTCCATATTTGTGAAGGAGAAGTTTTTGCTTGCTACAGCTGATATGTTGGTATTTGTTTAATGTCTAGAACTGTTTGATACGTTTCAGGCTTTTCAAAAAAGACTCCCCCCCCCCCCCCCACACACACACACTTCCTCAATCTTTCTCTTCTCAGCCTGTGTCTTCTCAGCCAGTGTTGTTTGCTGTCAGGGGCAAATACTACTGACATCTAGTGGTAGCAACAGCTTACTCTCCTTCAATGCGCAACTGTCCTCCAAAGCAAAGAATTGTCCAACCCCAAAGGACAGTTGCTCGCGCTGAGGCTGAAAGACTGCTATAAAATCTGCAGCTTTGAGAAGGAAAGTAAACTGTCTCCGGGGGCATCACGAGGTGCCATGCAGAGCACGCCCCCCCCCCCGTTTGTACCCTAAATTCCCAGGACGGTGAGAAACGCAACAGCCGTGGGTGATTCCATACACCCTCATGAAGGTGGACCTAGCAAACTCTGGGACAAAGTCTTCCAGAGGTCGTTGCGCCGTCTCATCATTCCAGATACTTCCTTTTCTCTCATTTTGTAAAATGTCTTAAAACTTGCCCTTCCGACCATTTTGAAGCACATAAGGCAGAGCTACTGGTTACACGCAGACTACTGGGCACCAATCACTATAACCTGTGTCCAGACTTTTCTATCACCTCAAACAAACTGTAATACCCTTCAGCCTCTGGTATCCTCAGTTTTACTATGAAGTAGAACATTCTATAAATTCTCCATAAATTATAATATTCTAGATATTTGTCTCCTTGAGTTTAATTTCATTTACTATTCTGACTTATTTGGATGTGTGTGAAGGTTTGAGACACGGTCTCCTATAGATCAGGCTCAAATCAGGCCTCAAACTTTTCTAGGTAGTCAAGTGACCTAAAGTGCTTTTTTTTATTTTATGTGTGTGGATTTTTGCTTGGATGTATGTGTGTGCACTACACACACACCCGGTACCCTTAGAAGTCAGAAAAGGGCATCAGATCCTTTGGAACTCAGAGTTCAGAAACTTGTAAGCCACCTTGTGGGTGCTGAAAATTGAATCTAGGTCTTTTGGGCCTAGGCCTAGGTCTATCTGCTGGTCAGTGTTCTTAACCACTGAGCCATATGGGATCAACCTAGTGCAAACATATGTAACCTCTTATAATATTTGAGAACACTAATAACTTTCATTTGCATTTTAATTTTTTATGGCCGCCATTTGATTTTTTATGTGTCTAATTATCTTTTGCTCTAATTTTTTTAAAGTTTTTTGAGGCAACTCACCAAGACCAGGGCATTTCATTTTTTTTTTAAAGATTTATTTATTTATTATGTATACAGTGTTCTGTCTGTCTGTATGCCTGCAGGCCAGAAGAGGGCGCCAGATCTCATTACAGATGGCTGTGAACCACTATGTGGTTGCTGGGAATTGAACTCAGGACCTCTGGAAGAGCAGGCAGTGCTCTTAACCACTGAGCCATCTCTCCAGCCCCAACATTTCATTTTTTAAAATCACATTTCTTTTTTCTATCTTTTTTTTTTTTTGGCAAGTGTGTGGTGGTCAGATGTGGATTGCGTTTGGGTGGGCTACTCAGTCTAGGGGTTAGTAACCCACCCGCAATCAAGTTACTCCAGGGTCTCAGAGGGGCGCTACCTGGAAGGGAATGAGCTAAGACAGAAGAAGGATGCCAAGCAGTTTTGTCAAAGCCTCCGTTTATTAGGGACGGGTTACAGTTTATATATGGTAAGGAATGGGGGGCAGGGTAACTGGATTCTTGCCGCGTGTTCCAGGTCACGTAGGCCAGGAGGTAGGCTAGGAAGTCAAGTGGCCACACCTGGTTTCCTGGATAGCTGGAATGTGAGGCGGGTTCCGCTAAGAGATTGCTGCTAATTGGGTGAGGGGCATTCTGCAGACTCCCCAGGGTGATGGTTCCTGTAATGATTGTTAGTGGGGAAATGGCTCCTGACAAACTTTTTGGGAGTTGGTTCTCTCTTTCAATCTTGTGGGTTCCAGAGAAAAAACTCAGGTCATCAGGTAAGCTTGGCAGCAAGTGCTTTCACCCACTGAGCCCCTTACCAGACCAAATTCTGAAATATATATGTGCGTGTGTGTGTATGAAAAGGTCTATATTAAATAATGATTGTATGAGCTAATATTTTCCTCTAAAGAAGGGATTGCCGGGCGATGGTGGCACATGCCTTTAATCCCAGCACTCGGGAGGCAGAGGCAGGTGGATCTCGGTGAGTTCGAGACCAGCCTAGTTCCAGGACAGGCTCCAAAGCCACAGAGAAACCCTGTCTCGAAAAACCAAATAAATAAATAAATAAATAAATAAATAAATAAATAAATAAATAAATAAATAAATAAATAAAGGGATATGATTAGTTTTAGTTTTTACCTCCTTAATTTTCTCTCATAATTTTTAGTAACCAAATGCAAAAAAAGGTGACTGTCCATATAACTGGGGAGGTAGAGTTGTCCTCTGCAAGGTCTGGCTTAATTTTCTTCATTTGTCTGTGGAGTGGACCACGATTCATGCTAGGAATCAAACAGTCCCTTCAGTTTACACCAGAGTCAGGTTTTCTTTTCTTGGTTTTTGTTTTCTAAGACAGGGTTTCTCTGTAGGCTTGGAGCCTTCCTGGAACTCACTCTATTTACCAGACTGGCAGCAAAACTCACAGAGATCTGCCTGTCTCTGCCTCCCGAGTGCTGGGATCGCGGTGTGCCACCGCAGTCTGTCCAGAGTCAGGTTTTCTGTCCTGACCCAGAACAGAGTTTGAGTTTTGCTTTCTTCTATTTACTTCCATTAAACAATTTCCTGTTTTCCAGACATGATCTATTTTTCTGCCTTTAGAGTTCTCCTTAGGACACACATTTAACTCCAGTTTTATTCCTTCCTCTGGAAATTATCTCCAGACTGAGCTCACTCCTTTCAAGCTTTCCCAACCAGCTGTTTCCCCCTCCCTCTTCCGAATAGTCTGAACACTCATTACTTTTTTAATGAACTTGCCTGATTCAAATATGTTTATGTGTTTACTGTTGTAAAGAGATCGTGTGAGTTCCTTTTCGTGCACTGTTTATACACCTGTCAGATGTGCATTCAAAAAGTACCTACAAATAACAGTGTGATTGCAGCCAGTGGGTTTTCACCACCTGAGAGAAAATAAAGAGCTGCAGAGACAGCTCAGCAGTTGGGAGAACATCCTGCTCTTGCAGAGGACCTGCATTGGGGTCCTAGCATTCCCATCAGGTGGGTCACAGTAATTCCATAATCACTGGCCCTCGCAGGCACCTGCATTCTTGTACACACGCACACACACTCGTACACATAAAAATAATACATCTTGTAAAAAAGAATCCTAAAGATTATTATTGTTGTTGTTATTATTATTATTTTGGCTGTCCTCGCTGTCCTGGCATTAGCTCTTATAGACCAGGCCGGCCTCAAACTCACAGAGATCCGCCTGCCTCTGCCTCCCGAGTGCCGGGATCATCGCCCGGCAAGATTCTTTTTTTGATTTTTCGAGACAGGGTTTCTCTGTGGCTTTGGAGCCTGTCTTGGAACTAGCTCTGTAGACCATGCTGGCCTCGAACTCATAGAGATCCGCTTGCCTCTGCCTCCCGAGTGCTGGGATTAAAGGCGTGCGCCAACACCGCCCGGCTAAGATTGTTATTTTTTTAAACGCTACTAGACTGCTGCACACTGCCAGGCCAGCATAGAGAGCTGCGCGTGCGCCAGTGCAGGCACTGAAAGCGTCCTAGTGAGGATCACGCCTGCGTAGTACGGGTGGTCGCTGGTGCCACGGACCGACAGAAGGCGCGCCCAAGTGGCACGTGCGCGTGCGCGGGGCGGAGCCTGGGGCCAGAGCGAGGCTCTAGGTTCCTGTGTCCCGGCTCAGTAACTGTTCGGCGTGGAGAGGGACGGTTCCCTTCTGAGTTATGGATTTTGAAAATCTTTTCTCAAAACCCCCCAATCCGGCCCTTGGCAAAAAAACGGCCGCCGACTCTGAAGAAAGGTGATCCACATGTTTCGTCGTTTGCAGGGGCAGCACCGGGGTTCCGCCCCTGAGCCTGGGCTAGCGCGTGAGCCGAGGCCGGAGCGGAGAGGTCGCGGGGGAAGTGGGGTGGCTGGCAGAGTGGGGACCTGGGGCGAGGGCAATGGCCGGGCGGCGGGAGGAGGCTCCGATCTCTGCTGGTCTGCCCCCAGGGCCGGGCTGTTCCCCGTGCACGTGCGCTTAACCTGTTTCCTGTCACTCCCTCAGCTCAGAGGTGGCTTTGCCCCGACTCCTGGTTCTTGAGAGTTTGAATGGTACCGAAGCACTGCCCTGCCAGGGACCCTGAGCCAAAAATCCCAGAATAAAGCAGCAAGCACCATTTTGGCTTAGTATTTCTGTTAAATTGGAAAAGCATGTCGTTAATCTCGTACCTAGTGCAGAGAGTGCAGAGTTTCTGTACAGGTACCTGTTCACTTTTAGTCTTTTGAATTGAAAGTGCCCCCACGCCCCATCTCGCCAAAAACCCTTGTCTTCTATGTTCCCATCTTACCTCAGTGGGAACCTTGACACACATCCTTCACGAGGTTTTTCGCCATCCTAATTACAGATAGGTTTCCAGCGCTGGGCCGGACCTGGTGGCACAACTTTAATCCCAGCTCTTGAGGAGCCGAAGCTGGAAGATTTAGCGAGTCTGAGAACAGTCTGGGCTACATAGTGAAATCCTGTTTTAAGGGGGAAAAGAATATATGTGTTCACAGCAATGTCTCAAAATACGTTAGTGGAAACCATGACCCTAATTGGGCTCGCATTCAGGGTTTCATGTGTGCATCGTGTGAAATTTAGCCCCCACATCAGCCTTAAGGAGAAAGTGATGTTCTTATTTTACAGATGAGAATATTGAGGCATAGGGAGCTTATGTCACCTGCCAAGACGACACTGGGGGTGGTAGACCTAGGATTAAGGTGCTCTGGTAGTGTGATTTCAGTAATACGATTTCATCACCCAGCTTCTAAAGCAGAATTACTCATGTAAATTAGGTCCTATAGATAGATACTGGGAAGAAATGGACCCAGATTACTTGCAGATAGTAACATTCAAGGACAGAATTTTTTTTTTCATTTTCTTATTGATATTTATTGAGCTCTACATTTTTCTCTGCTTCCCTCCCTGCCTTTCCCTTCGCCCTTTCAATCCTCCCCCAAGGTCCACATGCTCCCAATTTACTCAGGAGATCTTGCCGCCTTTTTCAACTTTCTTCTTTCCATGTAGATTAGATCTATGTAAGTCTCTATTAGTGTCCTCATTGTTGTCTAAATTTTCTGGGATTGTGGATTGTAGGATGGCTTTCTTTGCTTTATGTTTAAAAACCACCTATGAGTGAGTACATGTGATAATTGTCTTTCTGTGTCTGGGTTACCTCACTTAAAATAATGTTTTCTAGCTCCATCCATTTTCCTGCAAAATTCAAGCTGTCATTATTTTTTTTTCTGCTGTGTAGTACTCCATTGTGTAAGTGTACCACATTTTCCTTATCCATTCTTTGGTCGAGGGGCATTTAGGTTGTTTCTAGAATTTGGCTATGATAAACAATGCTGCTATGAACATGTTGAGCACATGTCCTTGTGGCACGATTGAGCATCCTTTGGGTATATACCCAAAAGTAGTATTACTGGGTCTTGAGGAAGGTTGTTTCCTAATTTTCTGAGAAATGGCCACATTGACATCCAAAGGGGTTGTACCAGCTTGCATTCCCACCAGCAATGCAGAATTGTCCCTTTACTCCACAACCTCTCCAGCATAAGTTGTCATCAATGTTTTTTGATCTTGGCCATTCTTACAGGTGTAAGATGGAATCTCAGAGTTGTTTTGATTTGCATTTCTCTGATGACTAAGGATGTTGAACATTTCCTTAAGTGTCTTTCAGCCAGTTTAGATTCCTCTGTTGAGAGTTCTCTGTTGAGGTCTTTACTCCAAATTTTTTCATTGTATTATGTGTTCTTTTGGTGTCCAATTTCTTGAGTTCTTTGTATATTTTGGAGATCAGACCTCTGTCTGATGTGGGGTTAGTGAAGATCTTTTCCCATTCTGTAACAGGCTGTCGTTTTGTCTTGTTGACCGTGTCCTTTGCTTTACAGAAGCTTTTCAGTTTCAGGAGGTCCCATTTATTAATTGTTTCTCTCAGTGTCTGTGCTGCTGGGGTTATATTTAGGAAGTGGTTCCCTGTGCCAATGCGTTCAAGTGTACTTCCCACTTTCTCTTCTATAAGGTTCAGTGTGGTTGGCTTTATGTTGAGGTCTTTGATCCATTTGGACTTGAGTTTTGTGGATGGTGATAGATATGGATCTATTTTAATTCTTGTACATGTTGATATCCAGTTATGCCAGCACCATTTGTTAAATATGCTTTCTTTTTTCCATTTGATATTTTTTGCTTCCTTGTCAAAAATCAGGTGTTCAAAGATGTGTGGATTGATATCCGGGTCTTCTGTTCAGTTCCATTGGTCCTCCTCTCTGTTCTTATGCCAATACCATGGTGTTTTCAGTACTGTAGCTCTGTAGTAGAGTTTGAAGTCAGGGAGTGTGATGCCTCCAGAAGTTCTTTTATTGTACAGGATTGTTTTGGCTACCCTGGGTCTTTTGCTTTTTCACATAAAGTTGAGTACCATTCTTTCAAGGTCTTTGAAGAATTTTGCTGGGATTTTGATGGGCATTGCGTTGAATCTGTAAGGAAAGAAACAAATTGATAGCTTTTACATGTATGAGAATTGAACAAGATTAGAAAAAATAGTCAATAGTTTGAAATTACTTTAGACAAAATACCCGTTTCCTAAAGTTTGGCCGGAATATGTAAGAGGCGCTTGGACTTGCAGAAGACAGTTGGAGAGCGGCATGGAAGTAAGGTACCTAGCTATTCGTAGGCCTCCTGTTACTTTGGCTTTGGGTCCTTTTCAAGATTTTAGATTTCTGTATTTTTCAGTTTATCTTGATTTTTGCCTGTAGATATTTTTGAATGCATTGAAACATGTTTTTTTGTTTATTTTAGTTTATTTTATGTGTATGAATGTTTTGCCTGCATGTATGTTTCTGCACCACATGTGTGCCTTGCCCTTGGAGGTCTGAAGAGACCATTGGAACAGGTGGTATTGATGTTTGTTAACCACCGTGTTGGTCCTTGGAAGAGCAGCCAGTGGACTTAACTACTGAGCCATTTCTAGCCTGCTGTGTGTGTGTGAGAGTGTGAAGTGAGTTAGTCTTCAGGTTTCTGATTCTTTTCCTCATGATGGGAATACTCATTCATTTAAAACAATTTTAATTGCACTCCTGCTACATAAGATACATCATTCTAGGGCATGGTGACAGAGCAATAAATGAATAAAATGCAGAAAAATACTAATGCTCATGAATTATGTATTATCGAGGTGGATGGCAGATATATGGTACCTTAGATGATAAGGAAAGCCTTGGGGTAAATGAAGACTGGGTGAGGAGTTAGGTATTTGGGATAATGAGGATAGTGTGGATAGTATAATGAAGCCAGTTAAGGAAAAGCCTTAATGGAAGTTGGCTGTTTGGTTCTTAAGGGCAGGAGGTTGGAGGCTAGGCTATTAGAATCAGCTGTATACAGATGGTACTAGACTCCAGGAGGATGAAACTGTAGGAAAGAAAGGTGAGGAATGACTTTGGTAAGAGTTGCAAAGATGAGGAGCCAACCGAGAAGAAAAAGTAGCAACTGGGCATGGTGTCACACCTTTAATCCCAGTACTGGGGAGGCAGAAGCAGATGGATTGGGGCCAGCCTGGTCTACATAGTGAGCTTGGTAATTTGAATATAATTTGCCCCCGTAAGATCATAGGGAGTGGCACTATTAGGAGGTATGGCTTTATTGAAGTAGGTAGGACCTTTTTGGAGGAAGTATGTCACTGTGGGGGTAGGCTTTGAGGGCTCCTTTACTTCCTTGCTCCTTATGTCACCTCGTGACATAGTTCACTTTCTGTTGCCTGTGGATCAGGATGTAGAACTCTCAGCTCATCCTCAGCACCGTGTGTGCCTGCATGCCGCCATGTCCTGCCTTGATGATAATGGACTGAACTTCAGAAGTGTAAGCTGCACCAGTTGAATGTTTTATAAGAGTTGTCATGGTCATGGTGTCTCTTCACAGCAATAGATGCCCTAAGATGGAGACCCTATTTAAAAAAAAAAAAAAGTAGCAGCAATAGGGGAACAAACAGGGACAACTCAGTACTGCTAGAGCTTTCGCGCTTCTGGGTGGGTCAACAACTAGGACTGAGAATCGGGGCCCCCTAATGGAGCAGTGAAGTGGAGATTGAGAGGCCGTGGTTTAAGACATTCTCCAGGCTCCGATATTATCCATCCCTTCGTCTCGGGTTCACTTTCAGTTCTGTTAGAGCGGTGCTTCTCAGCCTTCCTGATGCTGCCACCCTTCCTCATGTTGTGGTGACTCCGAATCAGAAAATTACCTTCGTTGATGCTTCATAACTGTAATTTTGCTGCTGGTATGAATCTTAATGTAAATATCTGATATGCAGGATGTCTTATATGCGTACCCTTATCTTATATGTAAAAAGGTTGTTACGCACACACACACCCTGGTTGAGAACTGCTGTGCTAGAGTATGCTCAGTAATTACTCACACAGTGTCTCTGCATGGCGAGTTGCTCATGCCCGAGTTAGAAGAGTTGTTCATCTTCACATTTGGGTGTTAGTCTCCTGACCTCCAGAGGCATCCTGCGTTGTACCTGACGCACCTCTCTCTTTGACATTCCTCTTTGCTAGTTCTTTCTTATCTTTTCTGTTTAGAAAACCCCAAATCTAACTTGAGTGTTTCTTATATATGTGCCTGTATTATTCTCCCAAGCAGATAAAAAGCTCTCAGGAGGCAGGGACAACTTGTCTTTTTCATTGTTGTACCTCGTGGTGTGAGGCCACAGCCTGAATGTGATGAATAATTAACATGCAATGAATGACAGGAATGATGGGTGAATAGTGATTTGTATATATGCTAATTCTTTTTTCCCCCTTTTTTTTTTTTTTTTTTTTTTTTTGAGACAGGGTGTCTCTGTGTAACTGCCCTAGCTGTCCAGGAACTCTCTGTAGACAAGGCTGGCCTCAGACTCACAGAGATCTGCCTGCGTCTGCCTCCTGAGTGCTGGGATTAAAGGACTGCACCACCACCCATACCTGGGCCTACACTGCTATTTTTATTAATGTTATAGAGTATTTGGAGTAGACTTTGAATTTGGAACTTATCTTAAGACCCAAGCCATGAGTTTTAATGCTGTGTGATAAACTCTTTTGTGTTATTTGCTGTTTTGCTGCAGAACTGATGAAGTAGATGGTGCTGAAGTTGAAACACAGACAGAGAAAGTAAAATGGAAAGCAAAGCGAAACAGTGAACAGATTCCCAAGAAAGTAAGGTTCACCTGACTTGTTGGACAGACAGCTCTGGATGGATGTGAGAGCCTGAAGGATCCTGTTTGTCTCATTGTATTTAGCATTTGGGGCCCTGTTAACTTAGGTCAAGGAAACTCAGAATCATCTTTCAGTAACTTTCTTGCCTTTTAGCATGAACTCCTATCATGATCGGATGGGGAATATGTCCGTGTTATAACAAGATTGATTCCCTCATTTCTGAAATGAACTGTAAACTGTTTTTTGAAAAGCTTCTTTCCTATCAAATTTGATGTAAAAATCTACAGGTCTGACTACTTAACCAGCCTTACTAATTACTGACTTAAAATCCAGATTAGTATGTAGCAGGATACAAACACGGCAGCATGAACAACACCAATGCGTTATCCTGTTGAGGGGCTAGAATTGAACCTGGGAGCAAAGGTGTTAGCAGGGTTGTTCTTTCTGGGGTGTGTAAGGAGGTCTGTTCCAGACCCCTCTGGTGTAAGAAGCCTCCTGACCTCCTACAATGGCCTGATTTCCAAATAGGCCCCATTGTGCAAAATTGAAGATCAAGACTTACACATAAGAATTTAGAGTTGGGGGAGACTCAAGTTCAGTCCATCACAAAGCCAATATCTGTTCCTCTCCTGTTGGAGTTTTTTTTATGGGGGAGGCAGTAAATGTTAACACATTACATAAAAATATATTCATATTGACAATGTAAGGCACAAATGGGCTTTATAAAAATACGCAGGAGCGATGCTACAACTGGCACAGCACCTTCATCTCCTGGGGGAGGCTCCGAGTCCCTCCCTCAGAAATACTGACTTCCGTGTGTAGCTGCCATGGATAAAGACCGAGGCCGATGTCCAGAATCTGCAGTTTTACTATCCCACAGGGCAGTGATACAGGCCTCACTCCATGCCCACAGTTCATAGTCTGTGTGCTCCCTCTCTAAGAGAGCAGACAGGCGATAGCACACTGTGTCTTTATTTCTAAATAAGTTAGAGGAAAAGGTGAACACCCAGGTTATCCCCAAGCAGAGTTCGTTCAGCCCAGGCTTTTCAGTCACTAATACAAATATATGTAGGGTTATGGCTAACTTAGTAGGGGTACCCAGGTAAGCACTGCAGGTCTAGAAAAAGTATTGTTGCCTCCCTCCTCCGTGTTAGCTCCTGAAGTGACCAGTTCTAACTTGTGCACAGATCGCTTCCGTGTTTTTCCCGGTTTTACTGCTTATGTAGTCATCCCTGAGCTTACAGTTTAAATTCATAAATGGAGTGTGTGCTTGTTCACCGTTCTCGCAGCACAGCCGTCCGTAGGACAGGCTGTTAGAGGTGCGCTGGTCGTGCTTTCCTTAGTAGTGTGCCGGCATTCTTGTACCTGAGTCATGCGCCTGAACTCTGCACTGTCCTGGGAGAGATGCTGCTGGAGCCTCACGTGTGAGCAGTGTTGCCCTTGGATCGATACTTGCCTGTGTTAGAAAGTGGTTGTTCCAGTTTTTATTCCAACACTACAAATGAGAGAGGCTGGCCCCGCCTGAGAACGCCATGCCATCCAGTCTTGTTCTGTTTGCAGCTGCATTTCCAGTCTCGCCCTGTGTGAGTTTCCTGTGTCCTTGAGCTTGGTCTCTGTCCTCCCTTACCTTCACTATTTGTTGTTGTTTTCTTGACTTAGAGTTCTGTGCACTTTTTGGTCATCCTTGTGCCTTATGTGTTGCAGATTTTTAGTTTTCTTTCTCTCCAGTGATATTTGTTGTAAGTGTCACACCTTTGAGATAGTTGATTTTAAGAGTATGTTCTTGTATACCCAGTCCTTTGTGCACCGATAAGCTTATTTTCTTGAATTATCTTCTAAAGCTTTGTTTCGCCTTTCACAATGAAATTTATAATCACCTTGGGGTGCAGGCAACCCATTTCTTTATTTTGTTATTATTATTCCTAATTGTTTCAGGGCCATTTCGTTATCAGTAAGGGGCTGTCCTGTCCCCGAGGTTTTACATTGCCACTTTTGTTAAAGTCAGGTATTCACGTTCAGTCTTCTCACCTGTCTGTTCTTGTCCTCTGAACTATCTGTTCCTTCCCCACTACTCAAAGAGTTAATTAGTACAGTTTTAAAATGATTTGCTGTTATATAAGCAAGTCTTGGCACCTTTGTGGTTTTTTCTTCTTTGAAGTGTCTTGGCTATCTTTTTGTGCTGTTGTTTGTTTTTCAAGATGTGGTTTCTCTGTGTAGTCTTTAGCTGTCCTTGAATTCACTCTGTAGACCAGGCTGGCCTCAAATTCTGCCATCTAATCTACCTGCCTCTACCTCTCCAGTGGTAGGACTGAAGGTGGCTATTCTTAGCATAGGCCTACCTATATAAATTTAAAATCAGCTTGTTGGGTACCACAGAAAGTCTTGGGTAGGGTTTTCATTGGTAATATGTGAAATTTATGGATTATTTAGAGGGAAATTTGAATCCTTAGAATATTATACAGTCTTGAATTTTTCTAAGCATATTGTGAGTGGAACTGTGTCTGTGTGTGTCTGTGTCTGTGTGTGTGTGTACATGTATGTGACTACATATAGAGGCGAGAGGTTGATATTGGATGCATTTCTCAATTGTTCTCTACTTTACTTTTGAGATGGATCTCTCTCTGAGCCTTGAGTTCATTGATGCAGTTGGGTTGGCTATCCAGTGAACTCCAGAGATCTGTGTCTCCATTCACCTGGCACTCGCTGTATCCTAAGGTTACACATGAGGCCACCAGACCAGCTTTTACGTGGGTGCTAGGGATCTGAACTTGAGTTCTCACGCCTGATAGCAGGAACTTTACTGTCTGTGCCATCTGCCTGGTCTTCCTGTGGTGTTTGTTTGTTTGGTGTGTGTGTATGTGTATGTGTGCGTGCACATGCATGCTAGTGTCCTTCAAGACTGGAAGTATCAGATTCCTCTAGAGCTGGAGTTAACAGGTGTAAGCCGCTGTACATGGTGAGGGAACGAATCGGGTCCTCTGGAAGAGTGCTGTATGCTCCTAACCACTGAGCCATTTCTACAGCCCATTTTTAATTCTGCAAAATTTTCAGGTGTTTAAAAAAAGAGTGTAGAGGGGCTGGAGAGATGGCTCAGAGGTTAAGAGCACTGGCTGTTCTTCCAGAGGTCCTGAGTTCAATTCCCAGCACCCACGTGGTGGTTCACAGCCATCTGTAATGAGATCTGGTGCCCTCTTCTGGCATGCAGATGTACATGCAGGCAGAACACTGTCTATATAATTAAATAAATAAATAAATAATATATTTTTCAAAAAATATAAATAAATAATAGTCATTCAAAAAATGACTACATTTATTAAAAAAAAGTGTAGAAAACACTATATAAAACGCAACACATAAGGCACAAGGATGATTCATGTATCCCTCATACAAATGCAGTAATAGTCAATTAATTGCTAGTCTTATATATGTATATAAAGCTTGCTTTGAATCTTAAGCCAAAAATTTCAATTTTTATTGTGTGATATTTTGATTACATTATGATGCTCCCAAGAAAGTTTGTTTTGAATCAGAGGGCAGAGCTAGATACTGGCTGACCAAAATTAACCATAGAGGTTTTGGAGAATTGCAGACAGATAGACATAGGAAGTAGTAGGGTGGGGCTTAGAGAGGATCTTAACCCTTTTGGATGGAGGAATGAAAGAGATAAGAAGTCACTGGTCACTTCGCTGCTGCTTCTCTGGTCATTCAGGTTCTTATCCCAGTACCTGACTCCCGCGTTTTTATTGATAAAGAATAGATAAATGCATCATCTTTTCGTCTTTAGTTTAAGCACCTGGGAACCTCTACAGCATCACCAAAAGGTTTGCCATGTAAAAAATCAAGAAGTAAGGACTATGACCCATACAGTGACAGTGAGACCTGTACTCCGGAACCAGAAGATAATTTTGACAAAGAGCTTCAACAGTACATCCAAGCCAAGGAAATGGCAAATGCTGCTCAACTCACACTACTGCCTGGAGAATCTGTGAAAAAAGAGGGAGCGGCAGGCACCCAGCAGAGTAAGCACTTTGTCCTGTGTCCTGGTTGTCTGTATTTGAACAAGCGGTTCTCACCTGTACTTTATCTTACAAGACAAGGTGACTTTGGTTGCTTTTTGTGCTCGATGCAAGATGTTGATGTGAGACATAACCCGAGATTTGGTTGCTTGGTAGTTCTCAGTTTGTAGGAGACACTGGGCTGCTAGTGGGTTATCAAAGGCTGTGTCTCTCTCAGAAGAAGTCTGAATCCCTGGCTTCTGCGTGTATGACCCTTGTTTAAAGAATCGACTGACTGAGTGATTGTGTATGTTTGTGTCCACTTTTTTTAAATGCTGGGGACTGATCACCCAGGACTCATATGTGTATTAAGGAGACATTCTGCTACAGAACTATATCCCAGCATAAAAATGCATTTCTTTCATTTTTATTTTTTAAATTGATATGTATTATTTTAAATTACAAAAATGTGATTTGGCCATAGATATGAGGGCACATGACAGTTTGTAAATTTGTTTTGTTTTGTTTGTTTGTTTTGAGACAATGTTTTTCTGTGTAGCCCTGGCTGATTGTAGCCCTGGCTGCCTTGGAACTTGCTTTATAAGATCAGGCTGCCCTTGAACTCTGAGACTCTTATACCTCTGCCTCCTAAGCATTGGGATTAAAGGTGTGCACCACAACTGCCCAGCATAAATGAAATTCTTAATGCTTTCCATTTACTGTGCTTTCTTCCAAGTGTTTCTTCTATTCAAGATACAGCTATCACTAAATTTAGCGTATATGGTTTTCTTTTTTGGTGCACACACACGTACGTGTGTGTATGTGTCTGTGTGTATGTGTGCGCACGTGTGAAATATTTTGAGATGGGATCTTATGTAGTCCAGGTAGTCTGAACCTTGCTATGGAGCTGAAGATAGCCTTGAACTCCTGATCCTCCAACCCCATCGTCTTCAGTGCTAGGCTTGCAGTTGTCCTCGTTTGTTGTATATTGCTATGATAAAACACTGTGATAGCACCCTGAGGAGGAAAGGGTTTATTTATTTCATGTTATACCTCAGGTAACAAGCAGTCCATTACTGAAAGAAGACACGGCAGGGACCTAGAGGAAGGAAGGCTGTTTACCGGCTTGTTCAGCCCATTTTCTTATACCACCCAGGCCCACCTGTCCAGGGTGGCACCACCCTCAGAGAGCTGGGCCCTCACCTCAGTTATCAACAACAACATGCCCTACATACCTGTTTGCAGGCCATCTGACGGGGTCAGCAGTTGAGGTGCCTCTTCCCAGATAATTCTAGTTTGTGTCAAGTAGACAGAAAACTAGCCAGCATGCAAGTATAGACCACCATCCTCTTCTTTAAGACATATTTTCAAGAGAAAATCTGTAATATATGTGATAATTCTAAGCCTCTAGTCCTTTTCTACAGATTCTGTGGCAATTCTAATTGGATCAGTCAATTGTTGACGTCTTCAAAATGTTCTGGCCTGTGGTGTGCAAGATTGACTTAATTCATCATCTTGTTTTTCCCTCCCTCCCGTCCCTTCTTTTCAATAACAGTGCATTTGAAGTTAGGGTGTTAGAAGCCTTTGTTTGCTTCTGGTTAGCAAGTCCCGTCACTGTCCGGTCAGCTTCCCCTCACTGAGGTGCAGTTTCCCTGAATTATAAGGCCAATTTCTAAGGGTTAAGCTGACATCATACCTTTATGCTATTTTAAAAAAAAAATGAACTTCTTGTTTTTAGCTGCCAAACAAAAAAATAAGAACTCTAAAGCTGGTCACAAGAAATTTAAACAGAAGAAAAGGAAGCGCAAGTGGCCCGGCACTGGAAACAAAGGGTCAAGTGTCTCGCTGAAGAACAGTGGCTCCCAAGAAAAGGTACAAGAGTTGTGCTTTTAGGAGGATGCCTATGTGCTTCCGGGTTCTTACCTTTCACTTCAGTTTCAGGAAGTGCTCGGTGATGTGGGGAGGCAGGAGCGCCCCGCGAACCAGGGTATACGGAAACCTCTACCTGCTGTTGACTCTGTGGTCTTCCTTCCTAATTACTGCTTCCTTCCCTCTCGGCACTGGCTGCCAGCACCGTCTTCAGCCTCAGGGGTCTCTGAGTGTTAGACCATTGCTAACTGTAGAAAAGTGGGAGGCAGAAGGAAATAGCTTTGGAGACGGTTGAAAGGCCGCCCAGTCCTGTGTAGCTGATACGCTGCAGTCCCGTAGCCTTTGGGTTGATCCTTCTGGAAATTAAAAATAGCTATTTCTGAACATCAGTCTTACCAAAGCTGCCAGTCCTGCACCTGGTGCTTTGACGTTGCTTTGTAAATGTTCTTCCTTGATTTGCATCTGTGCTCAGCATAGGATAGTAAATCACCTCTCTAGACTCTTGAAGACTTTTACATCGAATAACAAGCTTTTTATTCAGCTTAGTCACGGGGTCAAGAGTTTCGGGAGGTTAAAATATTAGAAATATCAAAGTATTAGCTAAGCATGGTTGTGGGTGCCTTATGCTGTCCCAGCTGCTTAGGAGTGGTAGGAGGAGTTGAGGACTATCCTGGGTAACAGTGAGATCCCATGTCAGAATAAGGGAGGGGAATACCAAATATTAAAGATTGAAATCAACTTATATAAAAACTGTCTCTCTTTCCATATTTTGCGAACGAGAAATGTGAAGTCAGAGTTCAGGTCACTGCCTGTTCCACACAGGCCAAGCCAGGGCTGAACTTTGTTTCTTCCCTGTCTCTGTGTTGTAACATTGACTCAGATGATTCTTCCCCCAGAACTGCAGCCCTTCTATATCAAGAACAAGTTCTAAACAGATGTTAGACTCTCATAGCATAATTATCTAAAACCAAAGATTTGAACTGAGATACACTTCTAATTTTATGGTCTTAATAAATCAATAACTTGATATTCTTGCAAAGCTGGTCATTTAGGAAATGGGTTCGTTCTTAATTGCACACACCATATTCCTAAATCTGTATTTACGACTTAGGCATACAGAAGCGATAAGCTCTGTCACAAGGTAATACATTAAAAATAGGTTTTGTTTCTTAAGAGCTAAAATAGGTTTTAGGGTTCTCATTTCTTTTTTAAATATTAATCTGTAAAACTGTAGTTGGAACTAGAGATTTTTCATAGCTTTCTGTTAATGGAGTCCCAGCTTGGTTATCTGTGATCCTAAAGGTTTCTGTTGTAGACTTCTTTTTATTACAAACAATAAATACTTTCTTATTTTTTTCATTCATTTTTATAAGATAAGGACAAAGTACATAAAATACTCAAATTTTACAAACACTATTATTCAGTGGTTGAATGCTGTTGAAAATGATGAGCACTCATTTTATAAACTGATTTACTAAGGTCCATCTTTGAAAGCTCTTTTAGTAGAGACCCTTTTTTGAGCCAGGGTCTTGCTGTATAGGTCAGGCTGGCCTTGAACTTGTAGCCCTGCTTCAGCCTTGGAATGCTGAGAAGACACATATCACCATGCCCAGCTAGAAGAGACACATTCTAACGTATTAAAAGTAGATTAAAACAATTTTGTAAAACAGAATGAAATATTTAATTTTTTTTTCTGTTTATTTATTTTATTGCATTAAAGGCTGGTGAGCCTGAAGAGAAGCAGCCGCGTGTCAGGATGAGTCAAGGCTTCATCAATCAGCACACAGTGGAACGTAAGGGGAAGCAAGTGTGCAAATACTTTCTTGAAAGGAAATGCATTAAGGTATGAGAATGTGTAAGCAAAATACACTACAGCATGCTTATGGCAGAAATCTACAAGAACTGCTGTCTCTGGGTCTTTTAAAAACATACCTGTAAAGTTTTAAAAACCATTCGCTCTTGGAAACAATTTAATTAGAAAATTAGTGATGTGCCACCTTTATGCTTTAAAAGGTAATTTATTAAATACGCTTTATATTAAAAATGTTCAAGAATTTTTAAAAAGTTCAGCAAGCTAAGTGATGTAACAAGCTAAGTTATCGCTAACACGAGCTTGTTTGGACTCTTTCTGGACTCGCTCATTTGAAGTTTAGTGGGAGTTGAGTTGCGAAGGTCTGACTGTGAGACGTGACCTGTGCTTATTCTTACACCCAGGGGGACCAGTGTAAGTTTGATCATGATGCGGAGATAGAGAAGAAGAAGGAGATGTGTAAGTATTATGTACAAGGGTATTGCACCAAAGGCGAGAACTGCCTGTATTTGCATAATATCCTTTATCACAAGATTCCCTTCACTCTTTGTATAGTATGAACTTTTAAAGATGTAGACTTTGTAATAAACCACAGCTTTGACTATAGCAAAGTGCTCTACCTAAGCCCAAGTAGATATCAAAGTTATTGTATTGTATACGTATTTGCATAAGAAAGAAAGGGACCCTTCAGAAAGTCTCCTAAATGTAGGTCCATTCTGTTCAGCCTAGGTGGTGGAAGGCTCATGAGACCTAGTCAGGCCCAGGAAGATGTCAGTTTCTGTTGTGGTTGTGTCTAATTGAGTCTATTCATATAGAAAAAGAAATATTTTATGGAGGTTCCCTGAACTTGAAGGGGAGCCTTGGTTCTAATGGCACAGACTTGTCAAAAAACATGAAACTCAAACATTTAAGGTAATAATAGCACCACTGGCCACATAAAAGTTGTTTCTTTATAGTCATACACCATTGAAGTCTCAGATTCTTCTAGGTGGTGATGGTGCATGCCTTTGATCTTAACACTCAGGAGGCAGAGGCAGGCAGAGCTCTCTGAGTTTGAGGCCAGCCTGGTCTACAAAGTGACTTCCAGGACAGCCAGGGCTGTTACACAGAGAAACCCTGTCTCAAAAAAAAAAAAAACAAAGAAAAAGGAAAAAAAGTCTTAGATTCTAACTTGATATTTTCTATTTAATAATGTTATATAAGTCGGTTCTACTTTAACAAACCTAATACATAAAATATCCAGATTTGTAAAACATACTATAGTCACTGACTTTAATTTACCCCATCCTCAAAGAACCTTTTAAAATAACCACATCTCTCAAGGTAATTAAAACACATTTCTTTCATCTGTGAATGAAACTGACCTGTGGTACATTATGAGAATATATGAGGGAGAAGAAGTTGTCTTTCTAAAATGAGACCTTTTGTTTTCTCACATTTGAATAGAAAACTCAGCGATTGTACTGGTAGGAAAGATTTTAGAGGGAAAATCTTTATTAATTAACAATGAAGTCTTTCAGTTGGGTTCAAATTGTTCTTTCCCTTAACACTGTGTTACATGAATACCCTTGCAAGTTTTATCACACAGGAACAAAATGTTATCAGGGCGATCACTGTAATTTTTCTCATGCCCCACTGACTGCAGAAACACAGGAACTGTTGGCTAGAGTAAGTATGGTGGTGATCTTGTTTTTCTTTTTAAAAACAGTATGTTTGGACCAAGGATGACATTTGAAAAAAGAGAGAGCTTCATGGGCTAGTATATGATAATCTAAGTTTACTTAGGTTTGGAAAACTTTTTTAATCTTATCATTGTCTCTGAAAGGAAGATTGATATTCATTGATAGTATTAATTAGAATGTTGTTAGTCAATATTGTTAGCGAGTTACAATTTCTATTATTTACTTTATGTGTACAGACTTGTGGCAGCCAGAAAAAACTCTGGGGAGTTGGTTCTCTTTATCATGTGGGTCCCTAGGATCAAAGTCAGGTTGTTGCACTTGGCGGCAACCCATTTTACTCACCGCGCTGTCTCTTTACCCTAGTTAGCAACTTTAAATAGCTGTTAAATCGAGACAGGCACAGGAAATGAAGCACAGCTTAGTCCTCTTGTTACAGCTCGGAAGGGAATCGAGAGTCACTGCTGGCAAACACGTTAGTTACGTCAATAACTGGTCTTCAGGTATTTCTGGTCTTTGAGAAAAGGTTATTGTGAAGTTATGGTCATTGACATTCTTTTCTATAGATTAGGTCAGGGTAGTGTCTCCAAAATTAAATTTAAATAAATGTGAAAATGAAAAAAATCCTCCTAAAATCGCTTGTGACAAAAGCTCCTTGAGCCTAAGCCAGTATGAGGAAGTCAGAGGTGCTCATTGCTGAGAATAGGGATGGTTTCTGTGGAGCTAGAAATCGTACCAGATATTTATGTGAAATTAGGTTCTTATTTCTTTTTGTGGTAGCACGTGTTGTTAGGTTGAATGCTATTAGAACAATTGAAGAAGAATGAGATAGGACAGTATACATTGTATTAATGAATTTTTTTTAAATCATGTTTTTTTTTTTTCTGTTAGGTTTTGAATTCTGAAAGGAAGTCATGTAAATAGACTGAGAAGGTAACAGTGACTCTGCTAATGGTCTTTCTTATTTAATCATCTCTTGAAGTTGGGATAGCAGCCTTAATAGAGGCTTTTCTGTCTTCTTTTCAAATGGAAGCATTTTTCCCTTCCTTCCTTCCTCAATAAAAATATGTATATACCTGCTCCTCTGTCTGTATTTGTCTGCCGTGTGTGTGTGTTTAATTCTCCTCTTGAGTTCTGTCTGTCTGTCGGATATTTGAGATAGGGTCTCTCTATGTAGCCCTGGCTATATCCACCTGCCTCTACCTTCCGAGTACCAGGATAAAGATGTGCTACCACACCTGGCATTTTATTCTATGACTTGGTTATGATTGGATATCACTGTTGGAGATTTAGATGATTTTCAGTTTTCTGAGGGCACATTGTTCCAGTAACTCTTTATAAATATCTCTTGCTATAAATTGCAACAGTTACTCAGGTCTATGCCAAGGAGTAGAATATAATGGATTGGTTTAAGGTAACACAATTTTTCTAATGTGTTATGTAACAGTTTACATTCCTATAAGCCATAGAATTTCTTTTCCACATTTGTTAATACTTTGTGTTTTAGTTTTTTCCTATCTTAGTGGATATAAAGATGGTGCCCTGTAGCTGATTTGCATGACATGCAGCATCTCAGTTTACTGGCCCAGGGTTTCTGTTTGTCCTTTGGCTTTGCTTTTATATGACCTTCACCTTCCTCTGTGAAGAGTGTCAAGTTTCCCATTCTGTAGGCTTTCTTGTCGTCTTTTGTTTTGGTTTTGGCTTTGGTTTTTCAAGACAGGGTTTCTCTGTTTAACAGCCTTGGCTGTCCTGGAACTGACTCTGTGGACCATGTTGGCCTCGAACTCACAGAGATCCGCCTGTCTCTGCATCCTAAGTGCTAGGATTAAAGATGTGCGCCACCACTGCCCGGCTTTTTTTGAGGTAGGGTCTTACCCATGTGTTATTTTTTTTTTCCTGATGTTTTGGTTATTCAGGATCTTTTAGATTTGGATTCTATATATGAATTTTTAAGAAATTTCTTTTGCCAGGTGGTGGTGACTCACGCCTTTAATCTTAGCACTTGGAAGGCAGAAGCAGGTGGATCTCTGTGAGTTAGCCAACTCTACAGAGCAAGTTCCAGGACAGCTGGGGTTACAAAGAGAAACCTGTCTCAAAAAAAAGAAAAGAAAAAAGAAACTTCTTTTTCATTTTTCTTTTTCTTTTTACTTTTTTTTCAAATATTTAATTGTAACTTCGTTGTGTTGAATGTGAGGATTGCTTTGGATATAGTAAGAACTTAACAGTATTGTCTTCATATTTGTGGACTTTTATTTTATTGAGCTATACATTTTTCTCTGCTCCCTTGTTGTTGTTTTTAATGTGTTTGTGTGTTTTGCTTGAATGTGTGTCTGTACCACACTCATGCCTGGTGCCCGTAGAGGTCAGAAGATGATGCTGGGGTCTCTGAAACTGGAGTTACGTGTGGCTGTGAGCTGCTATGTGGGTGGTGGGACTCAAACCTGAGTCCTCTGTCAAGAACAAGTATTCTTCACCACTGAGCCAACCCTCCCCTCCAGCCTTCATTGTGGATTTTTTTTCACAGTCCATAAAGGCTTTTTATTTATGTTTTACATCTCTAGAAAAAGAATCCCAGGATTTTCCCTCCTGTGTGTTTTCGTCTTGCCTCTCTATGGTCCATGATGCCAGCTGAGGTGGTCAGTACAGTGAAGCCAAACTGACGGGACGGGAGCAGGTTGTCCTGCCATTTTTCTAGGTCTTTGAGTTGCACATTAAATCTAGGGCTTATCACTGCACACTTGTTCAACCTGCCTGTGAGATTCACGACGATCTTTCCAGCTCTGTGGTCATCAATGATTTCAAATTTACCAATGTAACCCTGCTTCATCATCACGGTTAGGAACCGAACAATGACTTTGGAGCAGGGCCTGATGAGGACCTGGCGTTTGCCTCTCTTCTCAGCATTGTTGATGCTCTTGAGAGCATCAGCCAGGACGTTCATGTGCACCATGGTGGCTGCACGGGAAGATGGCGGAAAGAGCCATTGTGAAATTTTTTATGTAATCATAAATGAGTTCTTGCATTTCCATTCAACTCTATTGTTGTTAATAGGTTTTTTGTTGTTTTTGTTTTTGACAGTCTTTCTATGTAGTCCTGGATGTTCTAGAGTTTTCTGTGTCTAGAACTCACAGATTCATCTACCTCTGCTTCCTAAGTGCTGGGATTAGAGGCCAATATAGTTGGGCTTATTTATTTTTTTATTATCTTTTTGGCTTGGTTTGGGTTTTTTTTTTTTTAATGTGATTTTGTTTTTTTCTTTTTCTGTTTTTCTGGATTTTGGTTCAGTTCTAGCCTTAGATTTTACATTTAAACTCAGGGTATTCCTCCCGTTTTCCCCAAGAATAATATCTAACGCATTTTGGATTTTATGTTTTCTTTTGCTGCATGGATGGTTTTTTAGAGAGGTGAGTGAGTGTAGGGGGTGATTAAGTTGGTAATTTTCTCAAGCTGATGTGTTTATTCTCTTTTGCAGCTTCTATAGAGGACAAATCTATTCCTGTTCAGGACTTTTGAAGACTGGCCATTTGGAATAGTTCGAAGGTCCCTCAGTTAACGCATCTTCCTGTGTGGTTGTGATCGTGTGCAGCTCCCAGATCTAGTGCTCAAGTGAAGGGTGGCTCTGTACTGGGAAGACGGGAGAGGAGCACATGCGTGCTAGCTGCGGTGGATGCTGTGCTGAGCTAGGTCCTGGTCGAGACTGCCGAGAACAAGCTAGGCAGAGGATGGGAGAAGTGAGGATGGGAAGTATAGGGAGGATGACGGTGGAGAATGCCAGGGGACAGTGGGTGATAAGTTACATCTCTACGAGTCATTAAATACTTTGCACAATGTTTTTTTAACAATAATTCGGAGTTCCATTTTATGGTTTAGCATAGAATGTGTTTCTGTTATCTTTTTAAAAACAATTTTCTGATGGATATTTGTTTCTAATTATTTCTGTTATAAATAAAGTGGGATAATATAATACCTCTTGCTATGGTGTTTTCATACTTGCTGCTTTTAATCTTTGTGTTGTTAAAAATGTAAGAGTATTTACCTTGGGCCAGTGAGTGCTCAGCGGGTAAAGGTGCTTGCTGTGCGAGTTTGCCCCCCACATTCCATGGTAGAAAAGGGAACCAGCTTCAGAAAGTTGTCCTTTGACCTCCGTGCCTGTGTGCAAACAACACACAAATAGTGTTTCTTTAAAGAATCTTTCTCAGGCTGGTGACAGCTCAGCAATTAAGAACATTGGCTGCTCTTGGAGAAGAAAAGAAAATGAAATTTATGCCTGACCTGGGTTCAATTCCCAGCACCCACATGGCAGCTCACAACTGTCTGTAACTCCAGTTACAGTTCAATACCCTTACATAGAAAAGCACGCAACTTTTATCATTGGCTTATAAACAGTGGCCAGATTATATAGTTGTATAAAATATAAATGTGTGAGTTTCAGGATGTTTTGAACACAGCATACAATAACATTTTCCAGGTATAGATGCAATTCTAAATATGTGTTTTATACAGTGGAATGCATATTAGACAAATACCATGAGACTTACCTTCTGATACACAGAGTTCATCATTCTAGCTACTTGACCTAGAATCCTATTGAAAATACCAGCTAAGATTATTTTGGTTGTAATTGGAGCCTACTGAATCAAGAAAGTAATTGCTTATGGCGCAAGGATCAGATAGGCTTAAGAAGGGAGGATACTGGAATAGATCCCTGAAAGCTCAGGAGGTTATCTGAGAGTGAGCTCAGTGCCCTGTGGCTGCTGCTGAGCTGATTGCTCCCCAAAGATGCACTAGAAGGTGCCAGATAAAAATTACAGAGGAGACCTCAAGGTGGTGGCTCACGCCTTTAATCCCAGCACTCGAGAAGCAGAAGCCAGTGATCTCTGAGAATTTGAGGCCACTTTGGTCTGCAAAGCAAGTTCCAGGACAGCCAGGGCTGTTACACAAAGAAACCCTGTCTTGAAAAAAACAAAAAAGCAAAAATTAGAGAACTTTCCAAGGGTCTTTTTAAAAAATATTTATTTGTTATACAATATTATGTCAGTGTATATGCCTGCAGGCCAGAAGAGGGCACCAGACCCCATTACAGATGGTTGTAAGCCACCATGTGGTTGCTGGGAATTGAACTCAGGACCTTTGGAAGAGCAGGCAATGCTCCTAACCTCTGAGCCATCTCTCCAGCCCTCCAAGGGTCTTTTACAAAGCCTTAGGTAGTAAATTATGGGAAAGAGTGTTGTCACTGCACATAGGATGAATGCTTTTTCTCTTCTCTGAAGACCGGTTTGAACTGTAAGGAATTCAAGATGATCCTGTGGTTTATTTAAGACCACGAAGAGTGTTGAGGGGCTTTACAGTCAAACAGAAGTTCGTAGTCATCACACCTTTCAATGAAGTGTTTTGAAGAGATAAGCATACCTGCCCATGAAATCTATTAACTTGGTTTCAGTCAGTTTGGCAGAGAGACACTTTCTTAAATATGTCCTGTACATCCACACTAGGTTTCGTGTTCCTTAGCTGAGTCATTGCAACTCCTGCCAAATTACCGTGTTTCTTCTGCTTTCCTTGCCTACAGTTAACCATGGTTCCTGAGAGTAGGTTTCCTAATGCATGATGTCAGCCATGCCTTCATTGTGTAGCACCACCCTATCTGCCTGGTTTTTAGTGTTCTAAAAGAAGTTTGACTATCACAGCCATAATCATAAGGACTGGTTCATTAAGAATTGTAGTCTAGCCGGGCAATGGTGGCGCATGCCTTTAATCCCAGTGCTCTGGGAGGCAGAGTGAGTTTGAGGCCAGCCTAGGAATGTTCCTTATTGATCCTGTGGCTGTGACAAGACACAAAAGCAGCTGAAGGAAGCAAAGTCTATTCTGGTCCTCAGTTCAAGGACACAGTGTATCATCTCTCCCTAAGAACAAAGGATTCTGAGGTTATGGAGAGAGTAGCTTAGGAGGGAAGTTTTAGTTAGGCAGGTGAGATTGGTTGGTGAATTGAGCTGGTGTGGATGAAAGGGAGTGGGGGAGACAAGCTCATCATATTCCTCAGTTTCCCTTCCGGAAGTGTGGCCAGTACACTGGGGGTAAGGAAAGGCATTCCTAGACTCAGCAGGTAGAGGAAAGAGCCAGGGAGAACTCCTGCCCTAGCACTAGGGTTTCGCTGGATGCAGAGAGAGCAGCAGTGAGGGCAAAGGAGTCCATGGCGCAGTCTTCTCAACAATACTACTTACCAGGTTTCAGCACCAGGTACTAGGTTTGAGGGAGGTAAGGAGAAGATATCTGACAGAGAAAGGCACCGAGTGGAGCTGTCTTCCAGCGAGAGTTTATTAATACAAACAGCATATCAGAATTCCAAAGTGAAAAGCTTCGGCCTGCAAGGAGAAAGCAAAGTGTCTGCTTTAAAGGTCTGGAGATTTTTGTTGTTGTTGTTTTCAGGGAGGCTGGAGAGATGGCTCAACAGTTAAGAGCATTGACTGTTCTTGCAGAGGGCCCGGTACCCACATGGTGGCTAACAATCACCTGTAAGTCCAGTCCCAAGGGATCCAATGTCTTCTGGACTCCCACAGGTACTAGGCACACACATGAAACACAGACACACATACAGACAAAACACCTATACATATAAAAATTAGTTAAAAATATATTTTGGACTGAAGAGATGGCTCAGGCCTTAAAGACTAGGCTCACAACCAACTCTCTCCCTCTTTCTCTCTCTCTCTGTGAGTGTGTGTGTGTGTGTGTGTGTGTGTGTGTGTGTGTGCACCAGATCCCCTAGAACTGAAGCACAGAGATGTTAGCTGCCATGCAAGTGCTGGGAATTGAAGCTGGGTACTCTGCAAGAACAGCCAGTGCTGTTGAGCACTGAGCCATCTCTTCAGCCCCTTTATTATTATGTTCTGAAAAACAGTCAGTAACAGTGTTAAACAGTTGCTGCAGGTTGTTTTGATCAAATAACCCGCCAGTAAATCTATTTAAATCTACCTAGCTGTTTTGTGCTTCAGTGTTGGGATCCAAACCAGGGACTGTGTATGTTCGGCGAGTTTTAGACCCCCCAGCCTCCAGAGTCAGAGAGCCCTCTTGACACTGGTCATGTGAGGGCAGTTCCTAAGTGTGCAACTTTTCCAGTAAGCCACCGAACAGACCCAACAGTGATGCTTTGAAAGTAACGGAACACTCAAAGCGTGATCTACCCACTCCAACAACGGCTACTAGGAATCTTTCACAGTGGTAAAGTGCAGGATTTCAGGGGCTAGGGAAAGAAGAGTATGGGGGATTTCACCCAGATTCATCTGCTTTGCTTGAATACATTCTCTTCAAATTCTTATAAGCCATTAGTTCATTTTCAGAATTCTGGAAAACATTAATTTGATTATTTTTTTTACCAGTTCTCAAGCTTTTCATGTTTTAAAAATCCTCTTTTTTGTCATTTCATAAACAGAAAGCTTCATTCATTTTTAAGTATTGTTTGTACCAAAAATTCAGACGTGTGATGACATCTAATTTGTAAATATTTGTTTCTAAATATATTTCATATAAACAGATATGTATAAATAAATGAATAGAATAAATAAATAGAAAAAGAAATAGCTGTGTGCATGTGTATGTTTATACATGTGTATAGCTGGATAAAAGCTGACTGTGTGCTGTTCTCCAGCACTTTTCATCCCACAATCTCCCTTCCCTGTCTGGTGTGCCCAGGCTCATCTTCTGGGAATGCAATCCCACACGGAAGGATGAGACAGTAAGCAGCCACCAAAGTGCATGTGGCCATTGGCAGGAAGCTCCTGTTTCCTGTGTCTTTCAGACCTTTATACTGTGCTCCAAGATTTTTAAACTATCTATTTTTAAGAATATTTTTTAAATTCATTTTTATTTTATATCTATTGTCTTTTTTTTTTTCCTGCATGCATGTCTGTGTGAGGGTGCTAGAGCTCCTTGAAGTAAAGTTATAGACAGTTGCGAGCTGCCAAGCGGGTGCTGGGAATCGAACCCTGGTCCTGTGCAAGAGCAGCAGGGCTGTTATCCACTAAGCTATCTCTCCAGCCCCCTAAACTATCTTTATAAGAGACTCTATAAATAAGAAATGGTCTTATGATCCCTGTGATTTTAAAATAAATACATGCTTTGTATCTCAGATATATCCTATGCAAAAATATTCTACATGTGTTTCTTGGAATGTGTTGTATATACACTAGACCTTAATCTTGGACTTCTTGAAAGAATTTCTGATTCCAGACCCGTGTCTTCTGACACCAGCTCTTTCCAGTCTTCCAGATGCCTCCAGATTGCAAGCCAATTTAAACTTCCTCATGTAGCCGAACTCAGTTAGGCAAACCTAGAATCAACAGAAATGACCCTAACCTTAGCCAAATGTGCATGAAAACAGCCATTGCAGCTCGCAAAGAAACACTGCCTGGTCCCTGTGAATTCCTTATTGTCTCTGAGGCTGAATGCCTGTCCTTATGCGGTTGTGAAGGGTTCTGTGTTCTTGAATGTTGGAGAGATGGTGTGAGCAGCCCCTCAGGAAATAGAAGCTTGCCCAGCCCCTCCAACCCCCACCAGCTCTTGGCTTCCAGGAGTTCTAGAGAGCTGTGTTCCTTAGGATGCACCCCACAGCTCAGTCTGAGTCAGGAAGATGAAAGATGAGGGAAAAGCACCCCATTTTAATATGACCTGCAGACTTTCTTCACTGGCGGCCAAGGTGATAGAGGGTTCCCTGGAGCAATTGGAGAGACCTGGGAGATACTCGGGTGGGAGGACACTGCAGGGGCCGTGGCCTTGTAAAATCTTAGGAAGAAAGTCACAGCTGTCGGGGCTGGGGAGATATTTCAGTGATTAAGAACAGCATTGGCTATTCCAAAGGACCTGGGTTAGTTTCTCGGCACCCACATGGCAACTGACAACTGTCCGTAACACCAGTTCCATGGGATCCAATAGCACAGTCGGACATGGAGGAAAAACATCTATACACATATAAA